CAGAAACAGACTTGAATTTACAAAACACACTCATGTATGTTTACATGAAGTTCTATTCAAACCTCCTAATCAGTAGTTATCAGTGTTGGACCTTGGAGTGTTGCGTAACTGTCCAAGTTGTCACACCTAAAATTCGCGTATCAAGATGCCAAACTGATAGAAGAAAGGTATGAAAGTAGAGAGAAGAATGTATAAAAAGTCATAAATAGCTACCGGAAGAGAAAAAGAAATATGGCACGACGTTGAAGATTAAGAAAATATTTGGATACAGCTCTATAACTTAGTTTGATTCCGAGACATATCATGTAGAGTCACAAACCATTGATTTCAGTTATACAGCACTTTTACTGGAGTGTATAGACCCTTCTAGAGGCGTAGTATTTTAGAAGGAATCATATGACACCTTCCATATATCAGTTAGTAGCATGAAACGGGTGTCATTTGGTGGTAGTCTATATAACTGTAAAATCCTAAGTGCATTTTTTAGCAACAACTAGCTACTTGACTTTGTGTGACAATTTTTCTAGGCTATTTAAGCTTCCTAAGAGTTCTCTGTTTGGCAGTAAGTAGTTTTGTTGAAATTTCCATAAAATTCTTTTCTTTTGGAGTGAATTTATCCCTATATTGCGTCACTTTTAGTTAGTTGAGTTGTGAATCAGGTTCTTAAAAGTTCACTAGCCATATCATTGAGTACATGTTAGTGTCCTGTTACAGATATTAGGATTATATGATAAACAAAAGATGAGTTTCTATAGCAAATTGCAATACACCTTATTGGCCATTACGTAATCATCGAAACGACCTAACCTGCCATGATCTTTTTCGGGTTGCTTTAAAGACAAAATCAGCATCTGCTGAGATAAACGATTAGGCATTTATATTTCATGAAAAACTGCTTTGCTACTAGGAATACCGAAACCTAATTGGTTATTGTACCAGTTACCAGGATGGCCTTTAAAATCGCCCATTTTTCCTCTGGCAAATACTTCTTCTTCTACTCAACATCACAATTATGAAATAGAATGGACTCCGTAAAAATACTCCATTGTAGTAAATAAGCCAAGTTAAGGCTTCATAGCTTTAGCCAGTGCATGAATTGATGCGCTGGAAGACCCAAATGTTGAAATGATGAGTACTATGTTAAAGATCCTGTATGAAATAAGCGTTCATGCTCGCTATTATACACTGTAGTGTTTAAGAATAGAATAATGATCATCTTCCAATCAAAATGTATCATTGTAGTCGACAATCAATCCGTATCACTGAAATTATTCAACTTTTTTTCCCCGCTCACTCTCTCCTCTTTCTGTCAGTATCACCTCCGAAGCAAACTACTGGCTTTATGTTACGCAAACACATACTTTTACTAGAAATAAGGCTATTGCAGACACAAGCAGTATTAAAGGATTTTAAGGGCGCCATAGTTGTATCATACAAAGAAGGGAAATCAGAAGTCCTCTGCAAGATTCCTTCTGATAACCAAGTAAATGAAAGAATGAAAAACAGTAAAGTTATGAAATCCAGATCAAAACGTTAAAGGATCACATTGACATGAGTATGAAAGATAATTCTTGCTCAAAACAGCATCATTACATAATACCTTTTTCACTATGGGATATCCGTACAAAAAACTGAAGCATAATGGAGTTGTATTCTACCACAGTGTCCCAATTCTCTTCCAACAATAGTTTAAACGAAAGTTTAATGTGAATAATTTCCATACTGAAATTTTCAATGTCTAATGAACATCTGTGTATATTACGATGTAATACAAAGAAAGAGATATACGTGTACTGTACGCTGAGGTAATGAAATGAAGTCTAAGTGGGATAATAGTTTCAGTCACGACATGAATATTGATACTTAAGACTGGATTAGTTGAAAACTAGTAAACTTATTGTTAAAGTAATCCAATACAAGTCTGCATCAAAGAATAGACCTAGAAAAATGTTACAGTAATAACGATAATATTTTTAAAGTATTTTTCCTAACGGAAAGACATCAGTTGAAGAAACACTGGAAACCTGAGAGCACTGAACAGCTGTTTCATCCTAGTACGGGACTCTTCAGCAGTACTCACCTAAGGCACCATCGGGGAGCAAATTCAGAACCCAGGTGTTAATCATTCAAACACCGAGTCAAATGACAATAGTTTATAGTCTCCCATTTCTGTCAGTTTGCGATAGAACTTGACTATCTACCAACGTCTACTGTTGGCATCCGCTTTACTCTCTCTCAACTGGTTGACCCTGAAAGTCAATGGCTCTCCAACTGGTGTCGGTTCATGGTGAGCACTATCTCGAAAATAAGAAAACAATCCCTATCAACCTCAAAGTACAATGATATTATGAATAAAACGGGATCAAACATTTTTTATTTCAATGAAACAAAACGTGAAAGAATATATGGCGTAAGATATGTAACTAAGATATTAGAAAGGGAATAACAACTCAATGAAAGAGAATAAAGAGTAGAATAGTTCCCATATCCTTCTATGCACAGAGGTTTCGCTAACATTCGTACCATGTTCATCAACCTTGATATTTAATCGCTAAAGTTAGATCATCAGAAATGAGTATTGTGGTGTAAGCTAATTCAATTTTAGGCTTGTTTATTTGATACGGCTAACAGTGTGATCCCATGTAATCTACTTGATGAAAATTCGACCATAAATTAGTCTTACTCATAAACATACCAATGTAATCACGCAGCTCATGACGTCTGATTTTTATATTCTCATCACCTGACACAGAATAATTGACAAGGCCCTGCAAACTCATTGAGAGATAAGTCTTGTTTCTTTGTACATCCTAATAAACCATTTCAACAACATAATGTGATCTACCAATGACTGTGATGTCAAGTACCTAGGTGAAACTAGCTGATAAGGGGGGTGGGCAGATTATTATGACATAGGAATTTAGCCAATTGTGTTATGATAAACGTCATTAACACCAGTAATCCGGGAAAATTTTCAGACATCCAAACGGATACATCAACACACAACGACATGATAGTCCGGAATAAAGTAACTATATCCATATTCACTAAACTTAGATAAAGAGAGATTTGTTACTGAGTCGTTGTTCATCGAATCATCATCCAATATACTTAGTAAGAATGCAACACATCTACTGAAAATCGGGAGATTTTACGATCACTGAAAACAAAGAATATAAGGTGATAGGACTATAAAAATCATATGTCAAAAGCTTTGTAATTAAATTGATATGATAATGGGCTTACAGTTTATGCTTGAAACGTCATCAAGTGAACAATACTGTATCACTCCATTGGTGTTATGTCCAATAAAAAAACCTAATATCCAGGACATGAATATTAGATTGGTATTTATGTCGCCTCATAATATCCCCAACCGTTTTAAGAAGTTAGTACCAGTGATGTCATCAAGCCTGTTGATGACATACCACCAATTAATTAAATATCACACTTGATTTGGTGATGCCTTTGAACTAAAAACAGGAGTAAGACAAGGTTGCTGCCTACTACCACTGACGAAAGGTTTAGATCATGCAACAAGCTGTGTGGAACGAGAAGATGGACGTACGCTGGCTGGACCGATGAAAAGACCCTATGAGATTCGGGTTTCGTCTACAATGATGGTTTATATCTAATCTCACACAAACTAGAAGATAAACAGGCGAAAAGTTACTAACAAGTTGGCAGAAGAGGCAGGGCAGCAAAGGAAAGACTTCCTTCAGGTGAGCGTAAAAAAGACGAAGGTAATGAAGATACCCGACCAACAACAACGACAATAAGCAGTAATCACCAGCAGTGGGAGAAATCTGAAAGGGGTTGCCTCTTTCACCTACATACCTAGATAGTATCATCTCAACTACAGGTGATGGTGGCGGCACAGATGAAAATGTCAAAGCCAGGATCAGTAAGACACCAAAAAGGGTCTTCAGTAATCTGAAATAATCAGTGTAGAGATTTACTCCACTGCACTCCACTCAGAATAAAGTGTGAACAACATCCGGATTGTCAACACTAATGTCAGTCAAGTAAGTCAGTGCTTCTATGTGATGGTTGAGAGACTAGGCATGTTACAAAAAGCATTTCCAACAAACTGCAGACATACATCACACCAACAGTTGCCGTCTACGCTACATACTAAAGAATGATCACATGGCCAGAATAATGAGAATAAACAACAAGACAATCTGGTCTGGTAACGAACCAATCAACAACCTGTTGCCCAACAAAAGTATAGAGGGAGGAAGATGAGGTGGATTGTATTGGACATACAATGAGAAGACAGTTTGGGGACAACACGCAGCAGACCAGGCCAGGCCGTCGAGTGGAAGACAAATGGGAAAGGAAGAGTTTGGGGTGCAAGGGTGACATGGAGAAGATGGTGTGTGGCAGAAATGAAAGCTTTTTGGCGTATGTATAGCCAGGTTGTGAAGACCGTAGAGAGGAGAGTGAAATGGCGAAGTACTAGTGAAGCTCTATTTTCCACTAGGAACCCAAGGGACAAATAATAATAAAAATAAACCATTAACTTCCTCATCTTATTCCACGGATCTTCGAGTATTACCATAAAAGATAGAGGTTCGTTTTCATGACATTCAGAAGTTGCATATACCTTCCTGGCTTGAAATACTTCTCTATAAACCCTAGGTTACCTTGGAGCACACATTTCAAGCGTTTTAAGTATTTAACCAAGCAATTCTGTCAACATTTTTCAATATCTTCAATCCTATCCTATGATTCCTATGTTTCTCACTTATCATAAATATTTTAGAGTAGAAAAGCAAACAGTAATGTTTCTTCACATTCATCTAAATGTCAATTTCTTATATGATACATTTTCAGAGAAATTCATATTACCCGCTGTTAAATTGCTAATGGTTCAACTTTCAATCACTTTTAAAGCCTACTGTTTTTTTCTTGTGAATTAGCTTTATCAAACATGAAAATTTATCATAAAATAATAATAACATTCAGAATAGAGAACAATGAGAAAGAAAACTTACATAAATATTGTCTAAATCCTGTAAGTGTTAATAATATGAGTAAAAGTACACTAGTAAATTGATAATTTATTCTGTCTATCTGATCATCATCTCCATGCAATTGACTAGATCCAATACGTGCCCATTTTGCTAATGTTAATAAAATAGTTGGATCATTATCAATTTTTCTTGTATGTCTTGAAAAACCTCTACTCATTATTGGTGAATGATTGAAGGCAGATCCACCGGTTAACTCACAATCATAATCGTTACCTGAATTATAAAAATATGGATTTTGTAATAGCTCTCTATCATAATGTAAATCAGTCAATAGAACATCATCATCTATTAATTTGTTATTATTATTATTATTATTATTATTCTCAGTTGTTAGACATTCGGCTAAAAATTTCTCCTCTTCATTGAACAATTGGGCTTCTAAGGAACATGTATTTGTTGAGTCTGATAATCTTGTAGTAACTGGTTTTTTATCGAAATCAGTAATATTTACAGCTTCAGTTAAATGATCTGAATATGATGACCATTGATTGATCATAATTTGAGAACTCAGTTTACCTGGTGAATGATGAGGTGAATCGGTGAGTACGCCTAGTGAACACTGTGAAGTTGCAGTCATGGCTGATGTAACATTCAAAAATTGGGACCAGTTGATTAAGAATGTATAGATAGCAAACAATGGATGAAAAAATTAATAACAATATTGTCCCATTGTAGAAGGAGACTAGTTCTGTTTATGGATGAAAATACACAAACGTTGTTTTCTATGATCCATTAGAATGAAACCAATTATACGTGATTTTGATTGGACGAAAAAATGACTGAATTTTATTGTCCAATCAGAATGCAAGAATCTTGAGACCAATAAGAAGAACGTATAAATTTCATGTATTCAACCAGGAAGTAACTGACTTCACTCATGAATCTTTTTTCTTATCACAGAAATAATAACCATGATTTCTGTAAATAATCCTGGAATGTTTGAATATTTAACCTGTTAATTTGTTACAAAATTTCTCAATCCTATGTCTAACAAGTTCAAGCACATATGAATAGCAAAATGGCAAAGTTTATAAATCCACTAATGTGACACAGTATGATAAATCATTTTGTTTATTTGAGTTTTCTAATGTTCAACATTCTTTAGGTACATAGAAACAGAAATATAACTTTCGAAAATTGTCGATAGCAAATCAAAAAGTTAAGAGAAAACTGGAATTCCATCTTTATTTATTAGATATATCACACGGTGAAACAGCACTATCTACTGGATTACATTGTGGATACAATTTACTGTCCTCCATGATCATATCAAGATAAAATCCACAAGATGTTGAAGACATGGTTAATTTGGTTCTACTTTTCTAACCTTTTTTGATAAAGGCATTAGAACTTACCGAATACCCGTGAGTAATGCAGGATTGAGACAACATCGGACATGCTCACACCACTATTGCAGAAGGTTTTCAAGGAAGGAAGGAAAGATACCTGCAGATTAAAAGAAGCGCTACCTTCTCAAAATTCCAAGGAAGGGAGACATGAGCCTTTGCAAGAACTGTTGCGGAATGATGCTGCTGTCCACCCGAAGCAAAATATTACGCCGCATCATCCTGGAGAGACTAAAGAAGGTTCTGCATTCAAAATTACCACCGGAACAAGCTGACCGGCTGGATACAGGAAGAACAAATCACGTATGGATCAAATTGCAGCGCTACGCTATGCACCATCATAGAACAGAGTAGAGAATGAATAGCAGTCAACTCCCTACCTCAACTCAATTTCATCGACTTTGAAAAGGCCTTCGACAGTGTCGATCGAGAAGTAATTAGGCAGGCAGCTGCTTCAACACTACGGTTTTAGTGCCACAAACCTTTATCAACCCCATTCTATAGCTATATGAAGACGCCACATGCCAAGTGATCCACAATGGAAGGCTCAGGGACGCCTTTGAAGTGAAAACAGGAGTAAGACAAGGCTGCCTATTACCATCGATGATCTTCCTGATTGTGGTGGACAGGATGATGCAGCAAACTGTGAGGAGTGAGAAGATGGGCGTACGCTGGCTGCACCGATGAGAAGACCCTAAAATATCTGGATTTCGCCAACGATGATGATTTATGTCCAGTGTCTAATCGGATAAGCTAGAAGATCTACAGGCGAGAACTAACAAGTTGACAGAAGAGTCAGCGAAGATGGGAATTCAAGTGAATGTAGAGAAGACAGAGTTGATGAAGATACCCAACAAACACCACCATCAAAAGCAATAAGGGACACCAACCACCGTCAACATGAGAAACCTAAAGGAAGTAGTCTATTTCACCTACCTACCTACCTAGGCAACATCGTTCCAACTACAGGTGGCACAGACGAGGATTTCAAAACCAGGATCGGAAAAGCAAGACGGGCGTTCACTAATCTGGAATCAGTGGAGAGATCTACTGCACTCAGCATAAAGCATGAACAACATCCGAATTTTCAACAACAATGTCAAGTCAGTGCTGTTATATGGTTGAGAAACTTAGTGCGTCACGAAAAGCATTTCCAACAAAGTACAGATATACATTGCATCAACAGCTGCCTACGCTGACTGGATACTGAAGATCAGATGACCAGAAAGAATTAGCAACAAGGAACTCTGGCTGGTGATGAAGCAACCAAGAACCTATCGCGTAACAAATATGCAGAGGAAGAAAGTGGAGATGGGCACACACTGAGAAGATGGTTTGTGGATATCATCCGCAAGACCAGTAGCTCAAGTGGAATCCAAAGCGGAAACGACTTATTGGGCGTCCGAGGTGAGAGTGACATGGAAGAAATGGTGTGAGGAAGAAATGAGAGCCTGTGGGCAGTCGTGGGGCGAGGTTCAAAAGTTTACATAGAATAGAGTGGAAAGGAGGCGTGCTAAAGAAGCCCTATGTTCCACTAGGAACCCAAGAAGAAAATAATAAATAATAATGACAATAACAATAATAGTATTGCAGGATCATTTCTGTTGTATGTGTTTGGTTTCGGTTCCCTAGTCAAAAATTCCGTTAGCTTTCTGTCCCACCACTTAACCAAGGTATTTCCCAATACTGTCACTTTATGTCGCCTAATTGTGGGATTCCACGTAATTGCGTGCATAGTTGCATTATTTTATTATTACTATTGTTCCCTTGGGTTCCTAATGGAATATAGGGCTTCAGTACCCCGTCTCCAATGCACTATCTTCTCTGAAATCTTTTCAACCTGGCTCCACCACAGCCCACAACCTCTCATTTCCTCCTCACACCATCTCATCCATCTCACCCTCACCTCCGTCGCCCAACTCGTCGCTTCCCATGAGGACTCCACTCGGAGGCGTGGCCTGATGCGTGATGTCCCCAGTCGGCCTTCTCACTGTATATCCAATCCATCTACACTTCCTTCCACTGCATATTTGTTCAGTGATAGGTTCTTGCTTCGTTGGTTCGTTCCCAGAGCTCCTTGTTGCTTATTCTCATTATTCTGGCAATCCATCTGATCTGAGCTTCAGTAGCGAGCCAGAGTAGGTGGCAGTTGTTGATGAATATCTGTAGTTTATTGGAAATCCCTCTCGTAACGCACCAAGTCTCTCAACCATCACATAGAAACATTGACTTGACTGGTGTTGGTGTTGAAAATCCGAATGCTGTTCCATATGCTGAGTGCAGTGCAGAAGATCTCCACATTGGTTTCAGGCTAATGAACGCCTGTCTTGCTGTCTTTCCGATTCTGACATTGACATTCTCATCTGTGCCTGTGTCACCTGTAGTTGAAACTGTGCTTCCTAGATAAGTGAAGGAGGTTACTTCCTTTAAGTTTCTCCCGTTGATCGTGATTGGAGCTTGTTGTTGTTGGTGGTGGTGGTGGCATTGGTTGGGTAAATTCATCATCTCTATATTCTCTATATCCACTTGAAGTCCCATCCTCGCTTCCCTTGCCTCCCCTGACAACTTGTTAGATTTCACCTGTAGATCTTCAAGTTTGTGTGACAAGACATTAGGCCAAAATCATCGGCGAAATCCAGATCTTCTTACTTCTCTTCCACAGTCCAGCCAGCCTATCTCCCTCTTCTCACAGCTCACCACTGTTGTCTGCTGCATCATCCACTCCAGTCAACCACAATCAGCAATATCATGGGTGATAGTAGGCAACCTTGTTCCACTCCTTCCTGTCCTCACTTCAAATGCATCACTGAGCTAAGCTTCCCATTGTGAATTACTTGGCCGGCATGTGGCATCTTCATACAGTTGTTGTTGAATGAGGTTGATAAATGTTTGTGGTATTCCGTAGTGTTGAAGCAGTTTCCAAATTACCTCTCGGTCGACGCTGTCAAAGTCCTTCTCAAAGTCGATGAAGTTGAGTTGAGGTGTAGAGTTGACTGGACTGCCATTCTATACTCTGTTCTATGGTGGAGCATGGTGTGGCGTTACAATTTGGTGCACACATGATTTGTACTTCCTGAATCCAGCCAGTCAGCCTGTTCCGGTCGTAGTTTTGAATCCGGTGCATGCTTTAGTATCTCCAGCATGATGCTGATTAATATTTCGCTTGCATTGGGTGGACAGGAGTGTGACTCCACGCCAGTTCCTGCAGACACTGAGGTCTCCTTTCTTCGGCAGTTTGACAAGGTAACCCTTCTTCCAATCACCTGACAGGTACCTTCCCTTTCTCTCTTCCCCACCTTCTGCAATAGTGGTGTGGTGTGAGCATGTCCGCTGTTATCTCTGAGTCTGTTTTCAGTGCTTCTGGTGGGATTCCATCTGGTCCTGCTGCTTTCCCACATTTCAGTAGGTTTATGGAGTTCAGGACTTCCATTTTCGTTGGAGGATTTATGTTCACTTGTAGTTCTGTGACTGGTCTGTATGTGGTATTTCTGGACGAAGTGCAGTTGGTGGTGGTGGTTGTGGTGGTGGTGGTCGAATCAAGAGTTTCTTGAAGTGGTCGGCCTATCATTTGCTTTGTTTCTCTTCTCTCGTAATTAAATTTCCCTCATCATCTTTTATTGGTTTCGTCTGAGTCGATCTCTTCCCCCCCAGATAGTAACCTGTTTATTTGATACAATGTTGTCAGGTCTCAGTCTCTCCCACCTGCGGCAGCCTGTTCTGCTTCACTTGCCAGTGTTTCGTAGTAGTGTCTTTTGTCCTTCCGTACACTCTTCTTCACTTCTTTGTCCAGTCTTGTGTTTTATACATTGCACTCAGTTCCTCTTCTCCTTGAACATCCTTCCACTGCACTGGTTCATCTTCTGCTTCACCAGCCTCCTCTCCCTGTCAATCAGCTTCCATGTGGACATCCCTCGAGATCCATTCCCTGTCCTCTCTTCTTTCTTCTTCCTTCCCTAATACTAATGTGCAGGTTTCTTTCCACATCTCTTTCTAAGACTTCCAGTGTTCTTCTACACAGGTTTCTTCAGGGATGTTACTCGATATCTCCCATTTCGTCCTAATGGCTGACTGACATGAAGATTTCCTTCGTAGTTTCCCCCTTCAGTCTCTGTTTCGGTTGTTGAACGTGAACTGTGCTCTATCACCAACTACCTTCAAGGCTTTCAACTTGATTTGGAAGGAAGGTTCCTTGCACTAGATAGTGGTGTGTGGTGTGAATCTACATCTACCCCTCTTCTTCATCTTGTGTCAAGTAGGCTGGATGCATCTCCATCTCCATCTCCACTTTCTTCACATTGAGATTGAGATGAAGTCGATGTGATTTTTAGTGCAGTGTGTCCTGGTGTCTGG